AGATATAGATATAGATATAGATATAGATATAGATATAGATATAGATACCTTCTGTGTCAGATGTCCAAGGGTATTTGAAGATTATAGTAGTGATTTTCCCCCCCTCTTCCACCCAGTCTATGTTTAGTGGAGGAAAGGATGATTTTTATGAGATATCTGCATGATACTTGAATGTTCTTGGTGATTGAGTGATATAGGTAGGATTTGGCAACAGTGTCCTTATGGACTGTTGTCTTCTTCATGTGTTACGCTCAATTCTAAACATCATTTTCATTTTTTTAATAAGCCACACCTTGTAAGATACCTGCAGTTGTGATTGAATTGTACAGTTGTGCCTATACGACAATATAGTATATAAAATCATACATTGCAATGTCCTACCTGCAAATGAATACTTCAACTTCAATCATAACAATACAAGAGCACACAATAGATACAAACTCAAGGTTAACCGCGCCAAACTTGACTACAGAAAATACAACTTCAGCAACAGAGTGGTCAATGTTTGGAATACTCTACCTGACTCTGTGGTTTCTTCCCCAAGCCCCAAAAACTTTAACCTTAGACTGTCTAATATTGACCTCACCCACTTCCTAAGAGGCCTGAGGGAGTGTGCATAAGCGCACCAATCGTGCCTACCGTCCCTGTCCTGTTGTTTCTTTTTATTTTTCTTATAAGTATCTATCTCATGTATTCAAAACTATATTTATTCTTATACCTGTATCTTGTAAGTGATTGACAAATCAAATAAATACTAAAATAGGGTGATGAAAACTAATCTTTTTTAAATCAGGGCATGTTTGTTGGTGCTCTAGACCAGGGGTGTCAAACTCACATCATCATGGCAGTGTCATGTGATGTATCAGAACTTTTTTTCCCTTTGCTAAACCAGGCATGGGCGTGACCAGCTCATGATGCATCTGGCCCATGGACCGGGAGTTTGACAGCTCTGCTCAAGACAGTCATATTTTGGCACCTACTATGGCTTGGCTCCTCTTCTGATTTTGACTCTTGACGAATGTATCTTTTCTTTTATGTACACTGAGAGCATTTTTCCCAAGACAAATTTCTTGTGTGTCCAATCACACTTGGCCAATAAAGTATTCTATTCCATTCTTCTATCTATTTTGTAGCAATTTTAATTAGGTGCCTCTTGTTTCTTTTCTTTTTTTCTTTGAGTTTTTGAACTTTACAGTTAGGATTTTCAACCCCAGAATTAAAAAAAAAAAATCTTGGAGTTTTTCATCCTATTTACACCAGAAAGTTATGTTTAACCCCCAAGCAGGTACACTGGCTCACACAGTAAGCCATTACTGCTTTTTTTTATTGTGTTATCTGGAAATCTTTTCAATTTTGGCACCCTCTAAAATTTGGCACCCGTAGGCTGGTACCTGCTTGGCCTTAGCCTAGAGCTGGCTCTGCCTTTAATGCTAATATCAAAATTGTTCTTCGGATATACTCAACATTTTGTGTTTCTCATTTTTTGCCTCATACTCTGAATGCTTTAACAGTTCTTTCCATGTTCTCCTTGCAGGGTGGAAAAGTAGTGTGTCCCCACCCACCCACCCCGGCTAATAATCTTTCCAACACTCTGTGATTTCCTGTCATTACATTCACTCAAGTGTAGGAAGCCAGGGAGGTTACAGATTTATGAAGAGGAGGATTTACAATAAAAGATAAAACACTCAAACATCCATGGGTGACCTAGTAAATTACTGCTTATTAGGACATTATTTAGATGCTTTATCCCTTGGTAAAAAAAAAATGAGGAAGAATGATTACTTTAAAAAAGAGCTTGCACAGCATCATACACCACACCACTGTCTACTCCAGGGGTGTCCACAAGTCTTAAAGTTGCCAAGGTTGGACACCCCTGGTCTACTCCTTTCCTTAGTTCAACGCTATAATTGTGGCTTCCTTTTCATTGCAGAGTGCAGTTGTTCAGGAAATGGGATATGCAACGAAGGGCTGCTTGGAGATGGCTTCTGCTTCTGCTCTGTGGGATGGACAGGAGAGCACTGCGAAACCAAACTAGGTAAAGCAAATCTCAGGGCTGGCACACTGCAAAGTACAACTCCATAGAGCAGCATTTCCCAACCTTGGTGACTTTCAAAGTATTGCGAACTTCAACTCCCAGAATTCATTTCAATGGCCGTGCTGGCTGTGGAATGGTGGCATTTAAAGTCCACACATCCAGAACTGGACGTGTTTGGAAAACACTGCCCAGTGGTGGTATTCGACCGGTTCTGCCCGGTTCTGGAGAGCCGGTAGGAGCGATGAACAGCGGAGACCAAACCGGTTCTCTCGGCTGCTCTAATGGCTCTGCTGTTGGCTCCACCTGCCCACCCAAGCTCCCATACTCACCTTTATCCGCTGAATTTGAAGCGCAGCTGCTTTGTGTGGCACAGAAGAGTGCCACGCAGCAGCTGCTGAAGTGACCGGGATTGTGCAGGCTTGCAGGAGGTGAGTTAGAACGCCTTTGTGCATGTTTGGTGTGAGCATGCACACAAAGTGTGTGCACGCGTGCAAAGCGTGCCCACCAAGCCATGCCCACCGAACCGGTGGCAACAATATTTGAATCCCACCACTGACACTGCCCTAGAGGAAGGCCCAGTAGATTTTATCAAATGCCTGCATTTCACAAAAAGTTGTTTTTGCGTTTTTTGGGGGGGGGGGGGGGGGCATCGTTCTACTGATTTCTTTGTTTATGGATTTTATAAACTTCTATGGTATTTCAAGCATGTATAACATCTTGGAAAGCATTAGAAAAGAAAAAAAAAACAATTCAACGCATCATCTGTAGTGCTTTAGCCTTGTTTGATTGAAGAAATTGCTTTTTCTTTTTTTTGTACAAAATGAAATGTTGAATTTCAAAATGTCACTGTCAGCATGCAGGCTAATATATTTTTGAAATCACAGGATTTGGGGAGTTCCTATATCTATTGGGGCTATGGCCAGGGGTGGGATTCAATTTTTTTAAACAACCGGTTCTGTGGGTGTGGCTTAGTTGGTGGGCGTGGCTTGGTGGTGATGTGACTGGCTGGTGTGGCCAACTCAATATCACTCACATTGAGGTATGCATCTCCTCGCCTGGCCTTTCATGACTGTGGGGATGCTGCAATAGTCATAAGTGTGAAAAATGGTCATAAGTCACTTTTTTCAGTGCCATTGTAACTTTGAATGATCACTCCACACAAACAAAGTACCAGCAAAGGAGGGGGGAAAAACTCCAGAGAAGTTCATGAGACAGGAAGTCTAGTCCTGTCAAGAATGTAATAAGGGTTAACAGAGAGGCAGTTTCTGTAAGCAACACCAGAATGTTTCCTTCCTGCCTTTCTTACAGGATTGGACCAGTAATTTCTTCTAACAACCGGTTCTCCAAACTGCTTAGAATGTTAACAACCGGTTCTAGCGAATAGGTGCAAACCTGTAGAATCCCAGCCCTGGCTATGGCAAATCTAGACAGCATACTAAAAAGCAGAGACATCACCCTGCCAACAAAAGTGTGTATAGTCAGTGTTATGGTTTTCCCAGTTGCAATGTATGACTGTGAAAGTTGGACCATAAGAAAAGCTGAGCGCCAAAGAATTGAGGCCTTCAAACTATGGTGCTGGAGAAGACTCCTGCAAGTTCCTTGGACTGCAAGGCAATCAAACCGGTCAGTCCTGGAGGAGATCAACCCTGACTGCTCTTTAGAAGGCCAGATCCTGAAGATGAAACGCAAATACTTTGGCCACCTAATGAGAAGGAAGGACTCACTGGAGAAGAGCCTAATGCTGGGAAAGATTGAGGGCAATAGAAGAAGGAGATGACAGAGAATGAGGTGGCTGGATGGATTCACTGGAGCAGTCGGCATGAGCTTAAATGGACTCCAGGGATGGTAGAGGATAGGAAGGCCTGGAGGAACTTTGTCCATGGGGTCACAATGGGTCAGACATGACTTCGCAGCTAACAACAACATATGTATTGGGAGAACTCTGCTCTCTCCCTTAATCACATTGACTCAGAACTGATATCCAATCAATACAGGGAGTTTTATCACACTCAAATTCTCATCTTGTTTTTGTCCAAAATCAAGCAAAAAGAAAAAAAAACATGACCCTGATTCCCCAGCAGTACATTGGTAACATGCCTTTCTTTTTTTTAATGATCAAAAGGTTTAAACAATAAACAAAGTCAGACTAGCAAATCGTTATAATAAGGGAATGTGAGACCTGAATGATAAGCTGTAAACATCATATTTGGCAGCACTGATGAAAATGTCCCTAAATGACCTTTCCCATCTTGTCCCAGGCAAATAGCCATTTACTGTAAAATTAGCTTAACGAAGTTTAAAGAGCAAAGGAATTTACTAGCAAAGAAAAAAAAAAGTTATGAGTCTTGCCCATTTCTGTCATTGCATGAGGTTTTTTCTTTCTGTCCCAACAGTCCACCACTGTACTTGATTTTTTTAAATAATAAAAATAGCAATGAAGACTCCCCTCCCCACTGTCCCAAACACAAAGGTTACTTGCTACTAGCCTTCTTAAGGTTTTGGCACCAAGCCTTAAGAAGGCTGGTAGCAAGTGGCTACCAGCCTTCTTAAGGTGGCTACCAGCCTTCTTCTTAAGTGGTTACCAGCCTTCTTAAGATCTTTGGCTCCAGAGGTATTCAGCAGGTTCTGACCAGTTCTGGAGAACCGGTAGCAGAAATGTTGAGTAGTTCAAAGAACCGGCAAATACCACCTCTGACTGGAGATTTTACAGTATCCTTCCTCTGCCACGCCCACCAAGCCATGCCCACAGAACTGGTAGTAAAAAAATTTGAATCCCACCACTGTTTGGTGCACCTATTTTAATCATCTACTGTATGGTCCATCAAATTGAATGTAACAGATTCTGTGATGTTGTTTATTGTATTGTAATTTGTTTTATTTATTTATAGGTTTGATGTTGATTGGTTGCATTCATTGCTTCTATTTGCATTTGGCTTTGATAGCAGTTCAGCCAGACTTTGCATGGATGGCATGGATGGCAATGAACGTGTGGGCAGAATGCACGTTAAAAATCTCTTTTGTGTTCATCATTGCTTTGATCGCAAAGAGATGAACATTCTGAATTTCCCTCTCCCTCCCCTCCTCCCTCTCTCTCATACCGATACTCCTCACTTAACGATGGTAATTGGGAGAGCAACGCCATCACTTAAGTAACACAATTATCAGGGACAATATCACTTATGACAGTAGCTGTGGCAGTCCCAGTGGCCTTTGTTAGGCAAATACCGCAAGGTTACAGCATCCCACATTGCCCTTTGTGATCTCCTGCTGACTTCCTTGATGAACTTGGCTTGCTAGAAGCCAGCAGCAGAGGTCGCAAATGGAGAATGTGTGACACTCATTCACTGTCATCACTTCAAGTGGTCATTTAATGAGTGGTCACTCAACAAGGACTAAAAAATTTGCCAAGAAAATTACAGAAACGAATCCAGGCAGTCTTCCAGGAGTTAAAGCTGACTCAAAGCCATACATACATGCATACAGGGGTGGGCTGCTGAGGGTTTGCAGGGGTTCAGGAGATCCTCTAGCTAAGATTCTGCACAGTTTGTGGGAACCCCCAAATCCCACCCACCCCGCCCCCTCCCAGGAGTCCCTACGTGGCCTGTTTTCGATGCAGGGGGCATGAGGAGGCTCAGGGAGGGCAAAAAACAGGCCTCCTGGAAGTTCGGGAAGGCCAGAATCAGGCCCGTTTCCAGCTTCCAGAGAGCCCCAAGTGCCCAGGGAGACCATTTTTACCCTCCCAGAGAATCAAGAAAAGCCTCCAGAGCCCGGGGAGGGCAAAAACACACACACACCGCCATGATGCAGGAGGCTGAGTAGGCCATGCCCACCCTGCCCACACTCACCCAGCAACCGGGAAGAGAACCCAGTGCTAAAATGTTTGAAGCCCATTCATGCATACTGTGGAACCTTGGGTGGTGAACACTTCTGTTCATGACCAAATCGGGTGACGACCAGAAGTTTTGCTTCTGTTTTGCTTCTGGTCATGAACAGATCTTAGGGTGGCGACCAAGCAAACCCAAAAATCACCACAGCAATTTTCCCTGCCGTGGCGATTTTCCCTTCCGCGCCATTTTTTTTTCTTTTGGGGGGGTCCGCGCATACACAGACAGTCATGCTTCCGGTAACAACCAAATCGGATTGTGACCGTAGTCCTGGGAATGGATTATGGTCGCGACCCGAGGTTCCACTGTACATGCCTACATGCATAAATACATACATGCACGCATACATACATTCTTACATACATGCAATCATGCCATGCAGATTATTTTTATTTTTACCTGAAATCTGTTCAGGACTGCCTATCCAAGAGCAACTGAACCTTAATCTCACATAACACAATTTACTACCTGTTCTCATTCTATCCCAGTTGTGAAAAGTAAGTCATGCAGACAACGGGATGAGAATCAAATATGTTCAGTCCAGCTATATCATAAGTACTAGAAGCATGATCTAGAAAGAAAGGATTTCCTTGAAGTATCCTTGAAAGAAAGGATTTCCTTGAGGTGACGGGCTCATCAATGGCAGTGAAAAGCGAAAGAGGTGATTTGGTGAATAAGGTTAATTGGGTAAATGCTGCTCAACTATTTCATTGAAGGCATTTTAATGCATAGTCATTCATAACTGAATTTTTCTTGCCAGAAAATATGCAGGGCAGCAAGACTCCCTTTTCCAAAGTGGGTAAAAGATTTTTCCATAATGAGGATTTCCAGTTGTAAAATCTAACAGAATTTGTAGATGCATTAATGCATAACATTAATCAAACTATGTGTCTAATTCCAAAGTGAATTTATGGATTTGTCTACTTTGTTCACATATATATTTAGCTGCAGTGCCTCAGTGCTCCCCAGCCTGCCATCCAAATGCTGTCTGCCGGGCTAATAATATCTGTGAATGTAACCTCTATTACGAGGGAGATGGAAAGAGATGCACAGGTATGGTGGCAATTGCAAAGGGTAAATCTAAACATTTGCAAGCAGTGTTCCAGCCTGTTGTTAAAACGTTAGTATAATTTCAGGGCATAAGACTACCTCCTTCACAATAACATTGGGTGCTTCTCTGTTGCAATGCTTTAATTTCATTTTCGCACAAGCCCTCCAGTATAAGTATGTCTGGTTTTTCATGCAAGCCATATTATTACAACCAGAAACCTATCTTTCAAACGGTCTCTTCCAAGGCCTGTGTGGAGTTTCACGGCTGAGAGTTGTCATCATCATCATCATCTCTTTAGAGTTATTAGAATCCTAGAAAATCTTTGTCTGAGAAAGTCAGTGTACAATGTAAAGAATTAATTGATAATTCCCAAATAGAGAAGAATCATGATTCCAGATTTATAGATACCAAATCACTGTAGAAAACTTTCTGGAATGATTCCTGAAGATATCATCTTGCCTGAATTTTCCAATCCCTTTTTCTTTTCCTCTTTTAAAATTGAATTGGGCATTGATCAGAATTTTCTATTTCTCGATGACCATCATTTTTCTGAAAATAAAAACTTATGTGGGGTTGTAGCGGTAACTATTTTTATGTACAAAATCCTGCTTTTTGTCCATTTTATTTATTCCTTTATTCAATTTCTATAGCTGCCCATCTCAGGGAATGAATCTGGGTGGCTTACAATTCAAAAATGTTACTGTTGGAGATAAAGAAGAATGTCCAAAAAAGTAACTTATTTTACTCTACAACTTAAATCGTTTCAGAAGTATTTTAAGATTGTTTCATCTCCCCAAATACCTTCTGAAGTGTGCAAAATAGTAGCTAATACAGCAATAAATTCTCAAGAATAGCATTAGAATGTTAACATACCTCCTTGTCGGTGAGATACATTTTTGAATTTACTCAAACTCAGTGATGCTCACTTGCTTTCTTTGCATCAAAAACTTGTTAAAAATAGTAATAGCACTTAGACTTATATACCGCTTTACAGTGCTTTACAGCCCTCTCTTAGCGGTTTACTAAGAGTCGCCATACTGCCCCCAACAATCTGGGTCCTCATTTTACTGACTTCGGGAGAATGGAAGGCTGAGTCAATATTGAGCCTGGTGAGATTTGAACTGCCAAATTGCAGGCAGCCAGCAGGCAGCAGAAAAAGCCTGCAGTACTGCATTCTAACCACTGCGCCACCATGGCATGTATTTTGCTTATAACTAAAAATATAAAATAATATAACATTTAAATGATTGAGGAACTGGGTTAGGGTTAGGGTTAGGAGGAACCAGAACCTAGAACATTTTAAAGTTTGGTGTTTTTTTTTTTAAAAAAATCCTATTTTGATTGCATATACAAGCTTTATTCTAATGTTCCAAAATTGACTTGAAGACAACCCAAGCAGTATCAAAATCTGGAATTTTAGAACAATTATAGAATGGAATTGAGGGAATCTGGTCAGCCTGACTTTACTCTGTAAGCAATAGGCAGATTCAAAAGTTATGCATTACTGAATGGTACTTTCTGATGTAGTGATTGACCAGTGTGGAAACAACAACGGTGGCTGCAGCAACCATGCTAAGTGCACACAGAATGGAACGGATGTCTTCTGCACCTGCTTAGTGGACTATCAAGGTGATGGCTACATCTGCAATCCTATTGACAGATGTGCAGATGGAAGGAATGGACACTGTAGCGAGCATGCAATTTGTATTACCACAGGTCCAGTAAGTATCGGACATAACTCTGCATGCTCATATTTGTAACAGTCTTTGTGAAATGAGATCATAAAGATTTTTTGAGAAATCGTTTGTAGAAACTTGGGGCTTCTTAACAGCCTCATGACAAATGTCTATGTCTAGGTGACCTTCTTTCGAAGAGATTTCTCCCAGTTGGCTGGAAAAGAAGGACAATGGTGCACAGTGGAATATTGATTTTCTTTTCTTGTCCAAGTATCAAATACTCACTTCACATATTAAACATTATTGTTTGTGTAACTTATAGTAGCTCCATACATTCCTGTCACATAGGAGGTTTCTTTCCTTCTTAGTGTAAAATTTCACACTCTAAAAAAACAGAAACTACTGTATTTAACTAGTTGGCAGCCCGATTTTGAAAAGCAAAAGTAACTTTCAGATCAACAATAGACCTTACTTTTGAGAAAATAGGAATAGCAATAGCACTTAGACTTACATATTACCTCACACTGCTTTACAGCCCTTTCTAAGCAGTTTACAGAGTCAGCATATTGACCCTAACAATCTGGCTCCTCATTTTTACTGACCTCGGAAGGATGGAAGGCTGAGTCAACCTTGAGTTGGGTGAGATTCAAACTCCTGGAGTGAACAGTGAGTTAGCCTGCAATACTGCATTCTAACCACTGCACCACCAAGGCTGCACCCCAAGGAATAGCAATAGCAGTTAGACTTATATACCCCCCCATGGTATTTCACAGCATTCTCTGGGTAGTTTACAGAATCAGCATATGGCCCCCAATAATCTGGATTCTCATTTTATTGACCTTGGGAGGATGGAAGGCAGAGTCCATCTTGAGCCCCATCAGGATCAGATTCCAGGCTTTGGACAGAATCTGCCTACAACACTGCATTCTAACCACTGTGCCACCAGGGCTCAAGGAAGTGCCATTTTAGGGAGTGCAAATGCACAGAAACCTCAAAGCCCAGATCCCTAGCTACATAGAATATTTTTCCTTATATTGGAAGTGTAGTAAAAAATAACAGCAATAGCACTTACACTTATATACTGCTTTATAGTGCTTTACAGCCCCTTCTAAGCAGTTTAAAGAGTCAGCCTATTGCCCCCAACAATCTGGGTCCTCATTTTACCTCCCTCGGAAGGATGGAAGGCTGAGTCAACCTTGAGCCTGGTGAGATTTGAACTGCCAAATTGTAGGCAGCTGGGCTGCAGAAGTAGCTTGCGGTACTGCACTCTAACCATTGCGCCACAGAGGCTCCTATAATGCTACAATCTAGAAAGTAAACTGTTTAATAACTGCGGAAAAGGAGATTTAACTGATTTTTACTGTTTCATTTGGCTTGCTGCTGAGTTCTTTTCGTATTCCATGCTCTTTGCTGTCTACCACTGGTTTGATTGTCCGCTCTGGCTGTTAAGAGTGCAGTGATGCTGGGTTCCTTGCCTTGCAGAATACCCGGAGGTGCGAATGCAAGGCGGGTTACGTTGGAAATGGAATGCAGTGCTTCAAGGAAGTTATTCCCCCCACAGACCGTTGCTTGGAAGAGAACGGGCAATGCCACGTGGAGGCTATTTGTACTGACCTGCATTTCGAGGGTAGAATTCCCCCCCCCCCCTTATTCTGTGGTCCCTTGGGTGATCTTGTCATTTTTTTCTACTTTCTACTGTATTACTTAGGGGAGGGGGCGTTTCTCGCTTTTGGAGAGGAGAGTCTCATCTCTTACACTGGCATAGTTAAAGATGCCCTTTGTGATCTGTAAAGGCACATAATTGGTCAAGTCCAAATCAGATTTTTTTTTTTTTTTTGGGTCTCTTACTTTAGAATAATCTAAATGTATTAATTTCCTTCTCAATTCCTCCCCATTTTATTTTATTTTTATTTTTCTCCTTGTGGCTTACTTCTCCTTTCTTTGGAGGAAAAAGAATGGATGGGATGTTGCCGTGCCCATATAGACTAGGGAGACCAGTGTCTGATCCACTGTGATTTTTTCTTATTCTTTGGATGAAATTTTATTCAATAGTCTTGGATTTAGTCTTAGAATATTCTCATTTCTTTGAACATGCATTTAATTAACTTCCTTTTCTAATATCATTCCTATTTCTGCCATAATCCTTGCTTATCCTTTGTTTAGATATCCATTAAAATCCAGGCATTTAGAATAAAAATATTGAACGTCTCTTCTAACATTTCAAAGTGTCTTTTTCCAAATCTGACCCACATCTCAACAAAGCTGAGTAGACGTAATATTCTGTGATTGTTCTCCAGACAAAACAGTTGGTGTGTTCCACCTGCAGTCTCCTTCAGGGAAGTACAATTTTACCTATGAAGAGGCCGAAGCTTCGTGTGCAGCTGAGGGAGCTACCCTGGCCACCCTTCAGCAGCTGTCTGCTGCACAGCAGGTAACAAGGCAACACAGTGATATCAATTCATTTAGTGTCTCGGGTTTTGGTCTGTGTGCTATCGGTCACGCTAGATGGGCTTTCCTGGTTGAACTGTCTGAAGAAGCTTTAGAACTCCCGTTGGGTCCCACTGGAGTCTCACTTTTTCATCTACTTCACATTGAAATAACAAATTCAAACAAATTCAAAAAGTAATCCTTCGCGGGATGTCATCCAATTCTTTCTTTAAAGAAAAAAAGTGAATGACTCAATGTGAGTGTATTTGTTTTCGTACCATAAGATGCTGGCAGCCACATTTGGCACACGGGCACTAAAAAAATGGCATGCAGAGAAAATGAAAAGTTGCTTGTTTCAAGCCAGACAGGGCATAGCCCATTGAGTGCCACATTACGAAAGCTTCAGCTTATTATTATACAAGGTTTAAGTTTATTATTGTACAAGACAATCTTGTCAAGGTATGAATAGTCAGAAATATTTGTTGAAATATATCTGAGTATTGAAATAGCAATAGCAATAGCACTTAGCACTTAACAGCCCTCTCTAAGCAGTTTACAGAGTCAGTGTAATATTGCCCCCCCCCCCCAAAACAATCTGGCTCCTTATTTTACCCACCTTGGAAAGATGGAGTCAACCTTGAGCCTGGTGAGATTTGAAATGCCCAATTGCAGTCAGCCGGCAGTCAGCAGAAGTAGACTGCATTACTGCACTCTAACCACTGTGCCATTGTGGCTCTTATGTTTCAAATGTTTTCAAATGTTTTGAAAAGCCTGTCTTTCTGTTTTTCTAGATGGGGTTCCACCTCTGTATAGTAGGTTGGCTTTTTAACCATACAGCCGGTTACCCAACGGTATACCCAAGTCAGAACTGTGGTACTCATCATGTGGGCATTGTAAACTATGGCTATCGTAACAATGTCAGTGAAAAGTGGGATGCCTACTGCTATCAAATTCAAGGTGAGAAAATAAATGAGGTCATAAGTGTCATCTCGTTTATGCCTTTCCCCTGCATAAGAACTCTTACAAAATCTTAAACTTTGTCTCCAGTGCAAATACCACCAAATTTTGTTTCTTTTTCAGATGTACAGTGTAATTGTAAGGATAGGTACATTGGAGATGGCTATTCTTGCACAGGCAGCCTTTTGGATGTGCTGGCTCAACAGGCAAACTTTTCAGTCTTCTATTCAGTAAGTTTTAATAGTACCTTAATCCTGTAGCTTTTTTGCGATGGATATATTTGTGAATGGCCAGTGAAACACAAGCAGTAATTATGAAGATGATGGTATCTTTAAAAAAAATCACTAGTGATAATTATTCTTTCCTTCAAACCTGGTCCAGATACATCTATATGTCACACACTATTATTCCAAATACATGCTCTGAATTTAGAGTAAATATATTTGGAAACTTTGGAGAAAAATATTTATTCATACCAAAAGTTACCAAAAGTTAATGTTTGCTCAATGTTGACTGCTTTTCAAATCTTTTTGAATTTGAATTCAAAAAGTACTGTAGTCTTCACAGCCTGAATCTGGGTTCAGCTTTGGATTCTTCTTACAACATTCAATATGTTATTTCTAGACTTATATGTTGATTTTAAAATGTATGTTAACTTCAGCTTAAACTTTCTGTGTTGCTTTGCTGCACTGGTGGCGCAGTAGTTAGAATGCAGTACTGCAGGTTACTTCTGCTGACTGCCGGCTGCCAGCAGTTTGGCAGTTCGATTTTCATCAGGCTTAAGGTTGACTCAGCCTTCCATCCTTCCGAGGTGGGTAAAATGAGGACACAAATTGTTGGGGACTCTGTAAACCACTTAGAGAGGACTGTAAAGCACTGTAAAGCGGCATATAAGTAAAGTGCAATTACTATTGCTATTTCCTCCAGTTTGCTTTAGACTGAGCTATACCACACTTGCATTTTTTTGCTGAAAAAGCTTGAAATATATGATGTTTTTTAAGGGTGAGATAAACATAACTTGTTTTTAATAAAACTAGTTTATGCACTTTTTGAATGCTCTACAACAGTGTCTCATTATTCAGATCAAATACCAGAATTAATGAAACTATATTCAACTATAAAGAATCCAGCATCAGTCTTTTATTTCTTTGAAGTGAAAAGATAAGCTACATTGAAAAGCAAGTGGGAGATTTAAATTTTGATCTATCAAATTGCTGTTATCTACCTACTTTTACCCAGGGACAGGATATTGTTTTGCAAATGCCCCTTAGTTTAGGAGGGGAGGAAAATTCAAATTTGCTATTCCTTTGTAGGTACTGCTTAGAAATGGTCCCCTTGATACATTTGAATTCAACATAGTAATAATAATATTCCTGGTTAATCATATTTTCCCTCCTCTTTTTCAGATAATTCTGCATTTTGCTAATGCCACTCAGGAAGGAGTAGATTTTTTAAATTTCCTCTCTGAGGACATCGCTTATAAAACTCTTTTTGTACCCTTGAACTCTGGCTTTGGAGATAATACAGTAAGGATCACAAAAATGGACACTGGTGGTGTGGTCTTAGTTAGAAGGGAGAATAATTTTATGCCATCTCAAAAAAAAAAAAACCAACAAAAACAAATCAGCAAGAATAAATTGAGTCAAGCTAATATCGGTGATATCTGTGGCAAACTATATGAGTTACATACAGATAAACTATCTGCCTTTGATTGGACCTTATTTTCTAGTAAAGATATTAGTTGTAGCATAGCAGGAAATTCAGGTTCTTTTAAAGCAAATGCAGAGGACATTAATGAATAAATATATATTCCATTTTCTCATGAAATCCTGGTATTTTAGCTTTATGATAGGATAGCAACTGGAAGAATTCTCACAATTTTCTCCAAATGTTTAACTGCTTTGGTACTTTGGGAGAGCAAGGGCAGTTAAACTATAAAAGCAGTGGGGTTTATTATATTATTATAGTAGATTAAACTATCCCAATGTGAACTTTCAATTCAATTGCAATTCATGTTTTAGTAAAAGCAATGAGATTAGATAATCATACAGCACCCATACTTGGATTGTTTAATAACAATGTGAATAATGGCTTCATCAGCAAAGGACACTGCTAAATATTATCAAACATAATCCTGACAGAACTTCAGATTAACTTCTGAACTGTCTGCCTTAAAGGAAGCAACCTTAAATTTGGTAATCAACAAAAAGCAGGAAGTGTTTTAAGGGTTTTGTTGACATTTTCTGTTTATTAAATTGATTCCCAATGAGAAAAAGGAGAGAAATTCTCATAATATGCCAGTGCAAGGACAACCTGCATTAGAAGGACTGGAAATGTGTAATTCAGATAACTTATGCTACTTTGTGGGCTTTACTTAAATAAAAAGTAATATGCTCAGCCTTGAGAAGAAAGCAAGATTTGAGCAGTCTTCTATTAGACTATGAATAGAATAGAATAGAATAGAATAGAATAGAATAGAATAGAATAGAATAGAA